ATTACACATACAACTACATATGTAGATGTAGTCCATATAAGTACACATACAACTACATATGTACATGCAGTCCATACAATTACACATACAACTACATATGTAGATGTAGTCCATATAAGTACACATACAACTACATATGTACATGCAGTCCATACAATTACACGTACAGCTACATACACATGTAGTCCATATAATTACACATACAACTTCATACAGGCTGTCCATATAATTTCAATACACTCAATATTGATAAACTAAGCCATTGACAATAAACACAATTATATGTATATAAAATCTGCACAATTCACACATATGAACAAATAGCAAACATAAAAATTTCAACACCACCATAAAATCAAATTAAAAGTACCTTTTGTAAAAAGTTCCCGAATAACAGTTGAACCGAATAGTATAAAGTTAAAATTTACTCACGCCAGCGTAATAATCTCGCAGCTTTTTGTGCGAAGTGCCATATATCAAGCCACTCGAGACTCGAGAGTATAAACATCAAACGGATGTGCGGACATCAACTTTTATAGAGTCCTCGAAAGTTTCTCTCGGAGTTTCTGATTGATGCTAGGTGAAAATTCAGTAGAAAGGGGAATCGATACTCTATCGGGCGATTTCGACCGCGAACAGTATATCTATGCTTCCGGCAAGCCGATAATGGCGTCCTTAAATCGGGAAAAGTGATCGTAGGAAGGTTCAATCTGCGACAGAATCTTTATTTAATGCTGAATTTGTGTAATATAGTTTGGAGGTGGAGTTGGAAAATAAATAAAAGAGCTGTATTAACGGGAAAATTATTTTAATGTATTTCGGTAGGTGTAGGACACTTGTGAGGCGGTCATTTAACTGTCTTTCTTAACTGTAGTTTCTAATCTATGAAATCGTTCTATTTCCAAATTTTCAAATTTGTGAATTTTTGTGAAATTATTCAACACCCAGCAAATTTTCAAATTTCCAACCCCTTGAGTTTCCCAGCTTCTAAATTTCCAATCTCCAAAAATTCCTAAATTCCAAAAATTCTCATGTTTCCTAATTTTTCTCAAATACCCGAATTTCCAAATTTCTCACCTCTCAAATCACAAAATTTCCAAATACCAAACCTGCAATCCCTAAATTCTGAAATCCCAGCATTCAGAACCCCAAAAATTCATCAATCCAACTACAAAAATTTCCCAATTTTCTCTTCAAAATATTAAATCACCAAACGACTTTCATCACCGATAACGATATTATCAATGCAGTAAATAACGATGTATCGATAATCGAAAGCTCGTCGAAATATTTCAGTTGGCAAAGATTTCGAAATCGGGATCAACCAGCATGCTGCAGAAGGGATCATAAATCACCGGCTATCCCATGGGAGATTCGACGGTGTTAACGTTGATTTTCGCATAACCACTCGGTTATACTTGATTTTCTAACCCGTTTCCCTCTTCCGGTGTGAATGGACAGTATTTACGAGGGTTTACAATTGACGTCATTGCGCGATTATTTTCTCTGCTGTAATAGTTTGTTTCTTCAACTGGATAATTGTATGATCGTTTCTAAATTTGTTGGACGTCTGAATTTATCACGATGGAACTCTGCGATATCGAGTTTACGCTCTCTTACAGGTTGTTATGATGTTTCCTACATTTTCAGTGATTTAATTCCCATGGAAATATTCCATGGAACATAGTCATTTTCTCTGAGGATAATTTATTATGATGTTTCTAACGAATTACGCGAATCTGGGGTTTATTGGATTACCAGCTTTGATTCAGTTTGTGCGACTTGACTGTTTGTACACTTTCGTATCTTGTGTGGTGCACAACTTGTGGAATGGTGCACTGTTCTATTAGTTATTTAATACCTAGGTTCATGAAATGGAGGGTAGCTGGCAGCTTCGTATAACGCGTAGTAATGTAACGCGTGGTAATTCTACGCGTAATAATGCAACGTGTGGTAATCTAACGCATAGTAATCCAACGCGTAGTAACCCAGCGTGCGGATATCCAACGTGTAGTAATCCAGCGCGTGGATATTTAACGCGTAGTAATCCAACGCGCAGTAATGCAACGCGTGGTAATTCTACGCGTAGGAATCTAACGCGTGGTAATCTAACGCGTAGTTAATCAACGCGTA